GGAAGAGTGCCTTGCTGCCACTGCCCTCTCATCTTCCAGATGTGGAAACGATACACTGACGTGTGAACTGTCTGCTTTGGAGACAGCAGGCAGTGCCATGGTTCCCAATCAGGAATGTCTGATACAAGAGCTCAGGAGTTTATTTTCTCCTGAGCAGCAGCAGGGCACTGGAAATAAAATGTCCAGCTGACCCAGTCGGTGTTTCTAATCTCTGACAAATGTGTCAGAGGAGGGTTAGTGGAAAAGTATTTTCTCCCTCTCTCACGTCATCCTTATTACTACTCTTCTCTGCTGATGACCATCGTGTACCTGCCCTCTAAGTCTGTAACTAAGGACCAGCTGCCCTGCACTGCTAACCACCTCTCCTGCCCTGGTTTTCCATCTGTTCTGGTATTAACCTCCCGGAGATAGTCACTTCTCTGACACTCATGAGGAATCACTGATGGGGAAACTGTATGGTCCCTCCGAGAGCAAGGTCTAACCTCCAGCACCTCGGAAATGAGTCCCTGCTTCCCTCAGCACCTGCCTGCTGCCATCAACCCAGCAACCTTCTCAAGTCCAGAATCCAGATGCCTGCCATTTGCCCTGACTTCTGGAAGGAATAGGGACTTTCTGGACTGGGCATAGAGACAAAGATATCAGATATCTTTTGTTTGTGTGTGTGTGTGGGGGAGGGGCAGGATCCAGCAATGTTCAGGGCTCACTCCTGGCAGGGCTTGGGGAACCATATGCAGTGCCAGGGATTGAACCCAGGTCAACTGCATGCAAAGGATGCACCCTACCTAAGTACTATGTCCACTGCCCTAGCATATCAGATTTTAACAACAGGAAACACAGATAGGGATGCAAAACAATAAAGGATCAAAAGACAATGAAGAAGGACTGGGGAAAGTACTCAAGTGGTAGAGTACAAACCTAGCAGGCACATAGCCATGGCTTTGGGTTTAATCCCCTACACCATATGGACCCCACGAATCATTGGTTCTAGTTCTGCTAGTCTTTACTGTTTTTTTTGCGGGGGAGGGAAGCACACAGGGCAATGCACAGGGGTTACTCTTGGCTCTACACTCAGGAAATCACTCCTGGAGATGCCCATGGGACCATAAGGGATGCTGGAGATCAAAGTTAGGTCATCCATGTATAAGGCAAATGCCCTACTGTAAATGGGAAGAGAAGTGAAAACAAGATATTAACAAAACGAGTCACTGACAGCAGTAGGAAATGGAAAAAGATAGAAAAAATATATATACCAAACATCCCAGAGTAAAATATTTAGGGATCATCAGAGCAAACAACCTATCTTTCAGAGAATTACTTATACAGTGAAGTGCTGAGATGGCATCATTATCATCACCAGCATCCTGAGAATGCAATTATACGAATCACCAGCAATATCAGCAAGGGCCTGTGTGTTGTATATGTGTATATAGTAGGTACCAACGAACAAAGTACAAGACACAATTCTAAAAGTTTTCTCTTGAACAGGATTTTAAGAGGTCAAGAATGTGGCTCTGGGGCTGGAGAGATAGCACAGCAGATAGGGCATTTGCCTTGCACGTGGCCGACCCGGGTTCAATTCCCAGCATCCCATATGGTCCCCTGAGTACCGCCAGGAGTAACTCCTGAGTGCAGAACCAGGAGTAACCCCTGTGCATCGCCGGGTGTGACCCAAAAAGCAAAAAAAAAAAAAAAAAAAAAAAAAAAAAGAATGTGGCTCAATGGTACTGTATTTGCTTTGCATGTATAAGACCTGGAATTCAATTTCTGGCACTGCACGATCCCAGAGCACCCTCAGAAATGACCCCAGAGCACTGAGCTGGGAATAGTTATTGAGTCCACACTGTTCAGTATGGACTAAAAACCAAAACAGTAACAACAGTAAAATAAAAAGTTTCTTTTAAGTTTTAGGGTTTAAATTCATAGGGTGCTGGGGATCAAATCAAGGTTGGCCACAGCTAAGGTAAGCACCTCACCCGCTGTACTATCTCTCCAACCCTTCTTCTTCTTCCTCCTCTTTTTTTTTTTTTTAATTTTTAGGTCACATCACCAGTACTCAGGGTCTACTCCCACCTCAGTGCTCAGGGACCACGCAATGCTGAGAATCAAACCCAGGTCTTATATCTGGAGAGCATATAATCACACCTTCAAGCTATCTCTGGCCCACACTCCAGCCTTATGAACCCTCTCCAATCCTCAAAAAAAAATTTTTTTGGGGGGGCATACCCTATAGTACTTAGAGTTTACTCCTGGCTCTGTACCCACAGATCATTCCTGGCAGTGTTACAGGGACCGCATGTGGTGCTGGGATCAAACTGGTATGGCCACATGCAAAGCCAAGTGCCTTAACTCTAGTACTATCTCTCTGGCCATAATTTGTTTTGTTTTGGGGTCACACCCAACAGTGTTCAGGGCTTGCTCCTTGCTCAGTGATTAGTCTTGCTGAGGTTCAGGGGACAACAGATCAGCTGAATGTAAAGTAAGCGCCTTGCCTGCTATACTACCTCTCCAGTTTTTTATTATTTTTGTAATGATGGGGAGCAAACCCAGGGCCTCATGCATGCGAGGCAAGAACTCCACCACTAGCCCCCTGCCAAGTTTTAGGTTTTTTTGGGGTCACACCTGGCAATGCACAGGGGTTACTGGCTCTGCACTCAGGAATTACTCCTGGTGGTGCTCAGGAGACCATATGGGATGCTGGGAATCAAACCCAGGTCGGCCGTGTGCAAGGCAAATGCCCTACCTACTGAGCTATTGCTCCAGCCCCCCAAGTTTTAGTTTTTAATGGGAACTCTAGTTATATAGAAAAATCTGATAATCATTCCTCAAACAATGGATAACTGAGAACTAACTCTTTTTCTTTTCACTTATACTCAACTTTCCCTTTCAATTTCCTCCATTTTTAGAATGAATGACAAAGTAAATGACTAAATCTTCATGGTTTTAATGGCCTTTTTCTAGGAATTTTGAACCTAGGACTCATTGACAGATTTCAGGGGTTATATGACACCTCCCTTCCAACTCCCAAAGCAGTCTATGTTTCAATGCTAAGTGTAATTTCATGCCAGATGCCACGTGCTTGAGTGGTATTAAGTTTTTCTTGGGAGCTGATCAATGGTTTTCAGCAGGTTCTTGAGGTGCTCCTGATTCTCAAGGAGACGCCTTGATTTCTAACATTATTTCCTCCTACTCCTTATCTCTCCAGCCTAAAGCAGCACTAGCTCTGAGCTTAGAGTTCTGTGACCTTGGAATAGTTACTCTGTGCCCGTTTCCATATCTGCAAAATGAGGACACGAAGCCGCTCAGTTGTTGGGAGGCTTAAATATGAAAACAACAGAAAAACACTTAAGTGCCATAGTGGACCCTAATATGTTAGTCACTGTTACATATAGTACGATTCGTTTATTTTCTTTTCTTATTTTGGAGCCCCCCCCAGCAGTGCTTGGAAGCTGCTTCTGATGGTATTTAGGGGTCCATATGGCGTCAGAGATAGAACCTGGGAGCCTGTGGGCAAAATACACTCCAGACTTTTGGTCTATTTCTCCAACCCAACACTGCCATTATGATTACCAGTTCTAAAAAAAAGGGTCTGGAGAAGCTGAGGGTGGGAGAGATACTTCAGCGGGCAGGAGTGCATACAGAATACCCAGTTTGAGCCTTTCCACTGGTCCTTGGTCACTCTGATCCTTGGCACTGCCTGGTTCTCTGAGCACTGCCAGGAGTGACCTGTCCCTCAACAGCACAGAGCTCAGAGTAGTTCCTGCTGGGCCCCAAACAAAGAAAGAGGGGGAGCTTAGTTCAGCCTCCAGCATTGCAGACCTACCCCTCAGCAGGGTGGAGCCCTGATGATCCTTGTGTATCATGGGCTGAACACTGACCTTTCAGACTCACTCAACCACACCAAGTATCCCAGGGAGTGGCACCTGGCCTCTATTCATGTAGAAAAAAAAAATTTTTTAAAGGCGTCATAAGTAGATGCATGCCATTCTAACTCCTAATGAAACCTGTTTCAAGCTCTAAAAAATAAAAGTAGAACTTAAAATCTTTGCAGAATATAGTTTTATACATAGAGAGACAGTGCTGTTGAGCTGGAGCATTAGTACAGCAGATAGGACACTTGCTTGCATGCAGTCAACCTGGGCTCAATCCCTGGCACTCCATATGGTCCTCTGGGTCCCGCTAGGAATAATCCCTGAACAGAGCCAGGAGCAGTCACTGAGCACCACTAAGTGTGACCCCAAAAAGCAATGCTGTTTGTTGTTGTTTGGGGGCATACCTGGTGGTACTCAGGGCTTATTCCCAGCTCTGTACAAGGTGGTGTTCCTGCAGTGCTCAAGAGACTATTCAGTGCTCGGGACCAAACTCAGGAGTCCTATATGCACACATACACTCAGTACTTCGAGCTCTCTCTCGGCCCCTATCTTTCTTAATCCCCACTGAAAGAACTTTGAATTTTGTATTCTTCTACTTGTATCATCTTTTTTTAGGCTAATACCTTCAGGGAAAAACTGTCTCTCTGACAAGCCTTTCTTGGGTTTCTATAGGAAAAAGATTAAGCACTTATTAGTAATTCTTTTTGTTTGTTTTGTGTCTTAGGGTCATGATCAAAAGTGCTCATGAATGCCCCTGATGGTGTTTGGGAGACCATAGAAGATGCTAGGAAACTAGACTCCAGTCAGCCACATAAACAAGCAAGATAAACACCTCACCCCATCTTACCCCTTCGGCTCTGAATCCCAATTTATATCCTTTATATCTCTTTAATTTATCAATTTATATCTCTTTAATTTATTTAAGACTAGCATAAGTGGTGCTAATTCCCAGGCTTGGGGCTGTAGCTCACAAGTAGAGCACTTGCCTTACAAATGGGAAAGGCCCAGCACAATGCCAAACAAACAAACAAACAAACAGAAGTTATTATTAAGAGCCTAGTATAGTCGGTAATCAACTAATGCTCACCTTTTCTTCCATCCCATCCAGCTGGGTGAGTACTGAATTCTTACCTGAAGCATGCTATGGTTCATCTTGAACTGTAGAATGGCCTCACACAGGTTCCAAAATGTGTATTCTGGCCACAAAATAGGCTGGAACACTAGGCAGGAGTGGGAGGTCTAAGAAAGGTGCAGAAGAAGAGAGCAGGTTTAGATTAGTAAACCAAACAGTTCAGTAGCATGTTGCTAGGACACATTTGCAGTGAGGCTTCCAGAGAAGGGGCAGGCTGAGCAGGACCTCCAGCCCGGAGATGAAGTGAAGCAGGCATTGTGAACTGCAGCCGCTGCTGCCAGCCCTGCTCCACTCCTAGAGATGGGGGTCATTTGAGGCAGTTAGATCACCTGCCTGCAGCAAGGCAGAACGAAAGCGAGACTCAGCCAACATTTCCACCAGGAGTCTTCTCAGAGCCAATTTTAGGACTATGAAATAACATCTGGATTATGTTATTGGCTCCTGGCCCTTAGAGGTCATCTGGGAGACACACTGTCTGATAAAAGTCAGCAATGAACAACTGGTAGTTGTCACTGTTATTTTTAAGTCACAGAGTATGGGGCAGTGGTTAGGGGCTGGGTTGAGGATGTAGCTCAGTGTGGAGTGCAAAGCTTTGCAAGTGTAAGACCCTAGAGAAAACACACACACACACACACACACACACACTTTGAAAGTATAAGGCCCTTTAACTCATGTGCTCAGTCAGGGTAAGCACATACACACATACACACCAGAGGAGGGGTTTGGCAGACAAAACGAACACACAAGGGCTCAGCCAGGGAGAAAACAGACACACACACACACACACACACACACACACACACACACACACAGACTCAGACAGTGAAACACATACATCCAGCAGGGGCCTGGCTGGGAAAACACATACACCCATAGTTCTAAGGCCAATATATACTTTCCAAAATATATCCACTCCCCCCCAAAAAAAACATACATGTTCTGGGGCCCACACACACCTTCCAACACACACTAAAAAATTAAAAATAAAAAAATAAATACTCACAACACACACACACAAACATATACACACAAAACCCAAATACATGGATTCTGAGGCCAGCCAGAAAGCCTAGCTTTGATTTGTGCTCCACTATTTATCACCTATTTGACCTGAGCCAACCTCTCAGGGTCTCAGTTTCCACAAATATGAAACTGGTAAAAGATCTGGGAGCTAGAACAGTTCTAGTACAGGGGTTAAGGAGCTTGCCTTGCATGTTGTTGACCTTGGCCCTCAAGCACAGACAGGGGTCATTTCTGAGCACAGAGCCAGGAATAGCCCCTGAGCACTGCTGAGTGTGCCCTCACAAAACTGATTTAAAAAAAAAAATTTGGGGTGATAAGAACACTAAGTTTTTAGGGGACTATACGAGTGAAACAAGACAATGTACACAGAGCAGTCAGAGTACAGAGCTGGGTGAACTTTATAATAAACAGTGATGAAGCTTTTGGGACATTTTTGGCAGTGACTACTTGATACTGTTAATGGTAGGAGCTCAGTGTCTTGTGACGGTGTTAGCTGGTAGACAACTAAATCAGTGTCACCTTTCCTGGAACTCACCAAGGCCTCAGGTCTTTTTTCTGAAATAAGTTGATTTCTTCTTCAAAGTGACAATCTTTGAAATGTTTGAAGTTTAGATTTGGCTCACTCTTATCTGTCCCCAAGGTTATGAGAACTTATGTTTGCCAACAACTCTGAGTTTTCAGATGATGGGGAACATTTCAGATGTGGTTATTTCTTTACGAACAGCACAGAAAAGGAACATATCTCAAAGGGCTTGTGTACGCATTTTGCACGCAAGAGGTCTGGGACATGGCCCGGCACATGGTCCCTGAGCCCCAGGTGCAATTCCCAGCACCAGCTCTACCCACCCCCCCACCCCACCCACTGGATAAAAATAAAAACAAAGGAGAAACACATTTCAATAACATTCTTTTTGGTTATACCAGCAATGATGAGGGGGACTCCCAGCAATGTTCAGGGGACTAGGAAGTGCTGGGGATTAAATTTAAGAGGTTCTACATGCAAAGCATGTATTGCAGCCCTTTTAGCATCTCCCTTGCCTACTCAACCTGAGAATATAGTTACTATGCTTCCCTTTTCAAGACCATGATCCTTCACTCATTGTAGAACATGAGTTTCAGAAACCTGGGTATTATCTGGTAGATGCAGTAGTTACCAGTACAAAGACAGAGTGTCTGTCTGTCCGTGTGTCTCCCTCTCTCTCTTTTAGCGGGGGTGGGGGGGTTGGGGGTGGGAAGGAAGGGGGAGGGGCCACATCTGGCCATGCTCAGGGCTTACTCCTGGCCCTGCACTAAGGGATCATTCCTGTCAAACTTGAGGGACCATATGGAGCATTCCCCAATCCGGCTAGCAAATTAATCCCTGCACTATTATTTCAGCCCACCAACGTAATCTCTTCAACAACAACAACAACAACAACAACAACAAAACCCCCAAAAAACAATGCCCAGAAGCAAGCTCCCAGACATGATCTAATCAGCAGTGGGCTACAGAATCGTTAGACACTCTTCAGATGTTTTTCAGTATAGCAAAGACTGACAGTATTTTCCATAGTCAAGTCTTTGTTCACTTATAAACGCCTTAAATTCCTAGAACCCCTTAAATTTCTAGAACTCTGTCATTTAAACTGTTTGAGTTTACTTTCCCCCTCTAACCCTTAGTTTTACCCTGAACAAGAATATCCCAAGTCACATGTTCTCCATGGACGAAGTTAAAAATGATGGAGATTTTTCCACCTAACTAATACCTGGATATGAGTTTTAGAAGGACTACCAACACTGGGCTCACTGAGTGACAGGTCATGGCTGGCCCCTAAAAGTAAAAAATATAGTATAGTTCTACAACTTGTAGACTGTTCTTGCATAGGTACGACCCTTGACTCTGAGGGATGAAAACTAGGACTGTAAGGCCAGCATCCAGGGGTGTTGGGGTACCTGGCAAGCTACCACAGCAGAAACTTATGCTCAAGGACAGAAGGCAGATGTCAGCTCTTTATTTTATTTATATATTTTTTGCATTTGGGGTCACACCCAGCGATGCTCAGAGGTTACTCCTGGCTCATGCATTCAGGAATTACTCCTGGCAGTGCTCAGGGGACCATATGGGATGCTGGGAATTGAACTCGGGTTGGCCAAGTACAAGGCAAACGCCCTACCCGCTGTGCTACCACTCCGGCCCCAGATGTCAGCTCTTTAAACAGGGCTGCCTGTTTCCATTTTGGCTGAACGGCTTTGATATTTCCTCTATGGGATGTCTGGCATTCCTGAAAGTGAGAACTGTAGAGGTTCACAAAGCCATAGACTAACTAAAAAGGCAGAGCAAATGTTGTTAGCATACCCTGGACATGTTTCTTCAGATTTTAGCCAACCACCTTCCCAAAGTTCCCTGATGCCAGCAGGGCTAGGAGTGGGGACTAGCTCCTCTAATCTATACTGTGAAAGTGCTCACAGTTTCCCAGGAGATGCCAGCTGAATGGTGGCCAAGGGTACCTACCTGCCAGAGCAGGAAGTCGCTGAGCCTCACTTCCCCAGAAGTTCGTATCAAGATGTCGGGATGAGGAGAGTGGTTGGTGTAGAGGCACTTATCAAGCAGAGACTCAGAGACATCACTAGGGTGAGTGGGGAAAAGACAAAGATGAGCAAATAACTTTCTGCACTCTCCTCATGGAAGCTTTTTGCCCACTGGGCATCCCATACTGTACGGAACACCATCCAATATATTAGCCCCAACCAGATGTGTCCACTAGAACACCTGTTTTCCTGCACTGAAAATGAAGGAAATGAAGCATACACCTTTGATCTGGCAAGCTGATGAAATGCTATGCAAATGTATTTGTTTGTCTTTTAATGTTTAGAACTCAGTCTTGGCATTACTAGGGGGACGATATGGAGTGCCAAAGATCTGACCAGGATTGGTCATGTGTACTTGTCCACTGGCAAGCACTAGGCTTGTCTGCTGTCTCTGGACACACTGCTTATCTGTCCGTTGTGGTCTCCAAAGGCAGCTTTTGTCACTCCCAGTTGGTAAGAAGTCACGGTCACGGTCACAGTCCTCCCATTGTTCATCAATTTGCTCGAGTGGGCCCAGTAACATCTCCATCGTGAGACTTGTTGTTACTGTGTTTGGCATATCAAATACCAAATACATGACGGGTAGCTTGCCAGGCTCTGCCGTGCGGGCAAGATACTCTCAGCAGCTTGCCGGGCTCCGAGAGGGGCAGAGGAATCGAACTCGGGTCGGCCATGTTGGCTGCTTGTAAGGCAAATGCCTTACCACTGTGCTATCGCTCCAGCCCCTGCTAAGAAGTACAACATGAAAAGGGACTAGGACAGCTTCCCAAAATGGGCAATACCACCCTAGCGAATGCTCGTGGAAGCGATGGGTATAATTAGGAACACGTTCTGTTTGTTTGCTTAAGGAAGGTAGATTTCCAGGGAGGCACTGAGTGATTTTTTTTTCTGAAAAGGGTCAAATAAATTTGAGAAACTCTGGGACTGTTGAGAGAGTACGACGGGTAGGGTGCTTGCCCTGCATGAGGCTGACCCACCCAGGTTCAATCTCACATAGTCCTCTGAGCAACACAAGGAGTAATTCTTGAGTGGAGAGCCAGGAGAAGCCCCTGAGCATCTCCAGGTGTCACCCCCCCCCCCCCCCCCTTGCACAGCCCCAAAAAAGTTTGGAAAACTTTGCCAGATTTTTCTACTGTGGGTTGTGATCACATATGGGGTCATGAAACTTATTAAGTTTTTTTTTGGAAGGGCTGCAGAGATAATTCAGTGGTTAGGGCGTTTGCCTTGCACCTAGCCAACTTGGGTTCAGATACTCGGAATCCTGTATGATCCCAAGCACTGCCATGAGTGCTTGCCTTGCATGTGACTGACCCACCCAGGTTCAATCTCACATAGTCCTCTGAGCAACACAAAGAGTAATTCCTGAATGCAGAGCCAGGAGTAACCCCTGAGCATTAATAGGTGTGGCCCTCAAACCAAAAAAATTAAAAGACTGTTGTGGTTTTTGGGCCCACTTATTATGTTCAGGGGCTATTCCGGCTCTGTGCTTGGGAGTGACCCCTGGTGGTACTTGTGCCACAGGAGGTACTGGGATCAAATTGGGATGAGTGGGAATCAAGACAAGCACCTTAACCCTGCACTATCTCCCTGGCCCTAAAAGCTTTAAAATTATCATCTTTATGATTTCTATCAGTAAATGTTTGATTTGTAGACCTATTCTATATACCTATATACCCAGGGTCTCATAAAAGTATCTTGGGTGGAAATGGAAAGATAGTACAGCAGGTAGGGTGTTTGCCTTGCACAGGGTTCAATCCCCCGGCATCCCATATAGTCCCCCGAGTAACACCAGGAGTAATTCTTGAGTGCAGAGCCAGGAGTAACCCCTGAGTATTGCGAGATATGACCCAAAAGCCCCCCCAACCCCCCCCAAAAAAAGGAAAAAAAGAAAAATGCCTTGGGTGCATAGGAATCATGAATGGAAACACTACAAGCCCTGCTCTATGTGAGAAACAGTATTCATCAGGGAGCAACCTGGCTCAGATTTTCCTAAGAATCTGAAAAGTTTTGGCAGCATGGATTTAAATTCTGTAATTAGGGAATGCCCCCTACTCCCCACCATGCCACATCCTCTCTTGCTAAAAACCCATCACCAGGTGGGTTTCTGGTAGCCCCCAACACCACCAGGCACAAGCAACTGGACTGTCATGTCGTGAGTAGTTGAGCTGAGAGAGCAGGAGGAGGCCCCTGGCTCCACACACCTAGGCACACCGGAAGAGCTAGAAGGAACCACTTAAAATCAAAACATTACCTGGGATATTTCTAAGGAGTTCACTTTCCATTTGTATATATACTACAGCACGTAAGTATTGCCTAATGAATATATATGACCTTTATAATAACAAAAGCATGTTTACTGACAAAACTTTTATTCTTTTAATTTTTTGTTTTGGGGCATACCCAGCAGTGCTCAGGTGCCCACAGGGGGTGCTGGAGATTGAACCTAGGTTGTTCATCTACAAGACAAGTGCCCTACATGCAGTACTATCTCTCTAGCCCCAAAACTTGTATTCTTTTTAACGAAGTATGTCATAAGCTGGAGAGCTAGTACAGCATGAAGGGTACTTGCCTTGCCCAGGTTTGATCCCTGGTATCCCATATGGTTCCCTAAGCCTGCCAGGAGTAATCCCTGAGCAGAGTCAGAAATAAGTCCTGAAAATAAATCAATAACTAAATATGGTCAGGTAGCCTTCTAAGAAGTATTCAGGGGACCTGGGAGTCACTCCCAACAATTCTTGGCCTACTAAATCAGTGAATCAATGTGAGGGCCTGAGGATGCAGTGCTACCCTTCCTTGGGCCATCCCAGCGGATATCAGGGGTCGACAGAGTCACAGCCAGAGGTGCTCAAAGGTCTTCAGGGCTGAACTCAGAAATCTTAAGGGACGTTGTGGTGCCAGGGACTTAACTGGAGTTGACTGCATGCCTTAACCCTGTACTGTCTCTCAAGTTGGCCCCAAAGAAGTATTACTATTTGAAATAATCAAAAAAATTTAGAATTAAATAGCAATGGTTACACAGCACTTTGAACATATCTAAATAATTTTTTTGAAAGAGTAAAACATTTTTTTTTAAGAATGATTATGACTACTTCCACTCAGACCATGTGTTTCAGGAATGGCCAACTTAAAATGAAATCAATTTGCAGCTTTTTCATAGAAATGCCAACAGCCTTTGCAAACAAGTTGGCAATGGTTTGTATCAATAAGACAGTAAATGATCTGACCTGTAGAAAAAGGAGAGAATGAGAATGTGTTAGCTGGAGATATACCTCAGTGCAGAGCACATACCCTGCATGTTTGAAGCCGGGATTCATTTCTAAGTACAACCATCCTTCCCCCGAGAAAAAGAATGTGTCAATGTGTTCCCTGTTCAAGCTTGAAAAGGCAGATCATCCTTTAGAAGGCACAAAGATACACAGAAATATGCCCCTCGGGCCAAGGAGCTCAAAGAGTTGGAATACAAGAAATGGATTCATGGGGCTGCCTCATGGGACAATGGGTAGGGCATTTGCCTTGCACATGGCCATCTGGGTTTGGTTCCCAGCACCACATATAGTCCCCCAAGCCCTCCAGGAGTGATCCCTGAGCAAAGGGCCAGGAGTAAGCCCTGAGAACCACTGATGAGGCCCCCAAATAAATAAAATAAATAAAAAAAAAAGGAACTGGGGTGGCTGGAGTGATAGCACAGCGCATAGAGTGTTTGCCTTGCACGCAGCCAACCCGGGTTCGATTCCCAGCATCCCATATGGTCCCCCGAGCACCACCAGGAGTAATTCCTGGTTGCAGAACCAGAAGTGACTCCTGAGCATCGCCGGGTGTGACTCAAAGAGAAAAAAAAAAAAAAGAATTGGGCTCAATTCCTGGCACAGTATGGTCTCTGAGCACAGTTAGGAGTGGCCCAAGTACAAAAATAAAAACCAAAACAAAAAGTATTAAGGGACCGAGGGGATTGTTCAGTGGAAGTCTCTGCCTACAAAACATAAGGCAGGTCTCACCCACATAAGTCTAAAAGTTCTCTCGTTTGCAACCCTGTGCTGTAACAGCGCATCTTATCTCCAGAGCAATATAGCTGGTGGGGCTCAAGTGTGATCTCTGATGAACACTACAACCAGAACACGCACAAGTCAATGAGAGCTAGCCTAATGGGCACTGCACTCAACATGTCTGCCCTCACTACAGTGAGCACTACCAAATGTGTAGGCCTTGGGACACCACAACCAAATGTATGCAACCTCTGGTCATCACAAGTACAAAAGAAAAGGGAAAAGGGAAAAATAGTTCAGAATCTGGAATTAAATGAAAGAACATACACAGTACTAAGAAAATGTTGGGCATAAAAAAATATGTAAATGTTAACAATTATTCTAAAGAACCAGTGATATCTTCCTGCGAGAGAAGGAAGAGGCCAACAGGAAGGTGAAGTGACCTGCTCACAGTATTTCAGTGGAAGAGTTTATTTATGATCCTTGATGCTCAAGTTAACTTCTTCTGTTACTCTAGACTCAATTGATCAGCATGACTGCTCAGAAAGCATGTATCCTGGGAAAAAAGAAAATGAAGAGTGGATGGTAGAAACGAAGGAAGAGGGAAATTCCAGCTAATGGAAGGGTAGAGCTTAATTATAATGAACTCACTAGCTGTTACAGATGGAGATCTGTCCAAATTTAAATAATGATCACAGCCGCAGGCCTGATGAGCCCAGTCTAAGCTGAACACCAAGTTCCATGTGCCGTCAGCCTCGTTACTTGGTGACACTGCCCAGCCTACACTGTCTGCATGACCGGTCCCACACAGATAAGTTACTAAGTCATGCAGGGCAGAGAAAATAGATATGGGAAACTTGCTGGGCAAGAAGCGGGAGCTGAAGGTTAGAGTTACTGCAATGTGGTATGAGTATATATACTTGGTACGGAGAGTCGAGATCAGAGTTCCGTCCTGGGATGAATGTATATTAGATCTGCTGGCCAAAGAGCCTTCTCTCTCTCCTACATTAACATTTGTTCCTTACTGTCCTTAAAATATTATTTAAGGGCAAGAGTGATAGTACAGTGGGTAGAATGCTTGCCTGGGTTTGATCTTGGGCACCACATATGGTCCCCCAAGCCAGCCAGGAGCGAGCCCTGAGCACCACTGGATGTGGCCCCAAAACCAAAATAAAACACTATTTAAGGGATGGAGAGATAGTACAGGAGGTAAGGCATTTGCTCTGTATATAGCCAACACCATTTGAATCCCTGGCACTGCATATGATCCCTGCAAGCACAGTCAGGGGGACCACATGCAGTGTCAGGAAAGGTTCCTAAGGACCACTGGGAGTGATCCAAGCTCCCATTCCAAATAAAGTATTTAATTCAGGGCAGGAGTATGGATACATACATATACACACTCCACCACACTCATGGGAAAGACTATATAAAATATTAATTATAAAGTATAATTATGAAATCACCCCTTAAGCCAAGAGTCAGAAAATTACCATTAATTCAAATATTTGCATCTAGCTTTTTTTGTGGAGCCAGGGACTGAACCCAGGGTCTCATACATGCAAGGGCATGTATGTACTCTACCACTGAGTCACAGCCCTAGCCCCTAAAGATTATCATTTTCTTTTTTTCTCCCTTTGTTTTTATCTAATTTCTTGCTTCCAAGCAATCTTTTTTCCCCCCAAGCAACTTTTGATTTTAATTTTGTTTCTTAGATAAACTACATTATACCTAAGGGAATCAGAAAATCCCTGTGTCCTGATAAAAGATCCTGAATAGAAGGGTCCAGGAAATACTCTGCAAATGGACAGCTGCAGAGACAAGATCCAACTGTGACATTCTCAGAGCCTGACTGGGGGGAAGTCACTCTGTGCTGTGCTCAGGAGTCTCATTATAAAACAGAGGAAAGTCAGGACCAGAAAGCTAGTGCAGGATATATAGCACTTGCCTAAGGGGTTCAATCCCTTTCACTACAGATCGTCCCCTGAGCACCACCAGTGTGGCCCCAAACTCCACCTCCCCCAAAAAATAAAGTCTTGAATCTCTCCATACAAGTTAATACATGATAAAAGACAGAACATGACATATTGCAAGTGGAACATCACATATTGCGTGGTTCATTTTTTATAGGGGAATTAGTTTCCTAAACAGGTTTCAGGGGGCCGGGGGTCACTCTTGGCAACACTTGGCCTGGCTATGCAGGCCAGAAGTTCCAATGCTTGAGTGTGGCAATAAACATGCTGCTTCGACCAGGGAGTGTTGGGGACCAGCACAGCTATTAATATCACTCTTGTCACTCCTAAGTTGCTATTACTATTGTTATTACTACTTTACTACTATTTTTACCAACAGTTACACCACTAATAGTTAATGTGAGGGCTGGAAAGATAGCACAGCGGGTAGGGCGTTTGCCTTGCATGCGGCCAACCCGGGTTCGATTCCCAGCATCCCATATGGTCCCCTGAGCACCGCCAGGAGTAACTCCTGAGTGCAGAGCCAGGAGTAACCCCTGTGTATCGCCAGGTGTGACCCAAAAAGGGAAAAAAAAAAAGTTAACGGGAGAACTCTTTCCCAGCTCTAATAATTTGGACTCGACTCTGTTGCTAGGAATTTTTGGAAAATTACCTGAATTTCATAACATGAGAAGTCACAGGGACCAGCCCTGCAATAAACTGCTTGCCTGAAAAAATCACTTGTAAGATATGATGAAACAGTGCCAATGGGCCAGGAGGGCAGCATTTTAAAATGAAACACCTCAGTTTGGCTACCTGTTGTTAAACCAGTTTTCTGGAGCTTCTTGGTGAATGGCGAACAGAGCAGTTCTAAAGTAAGTTCTAAGGGGCTGGAGCAATAGCACAGCAGGTAGGCCGTTTGCCTTGCACGCGGCCGACCCGGGTTCGATTCCCAGCATTCCATATGGTCCCCCAAGCACCGCCAGGAGTAATTCCTGAGTGCATGAGCCAGGAGTAACACCCTGTGCATCGCCAGGTGTGACCCAAAAAGAAAAAAAAAAAACTGATTTCTATCATGGTGCTTGTAATTTGGTGGGGAGATCAGATAACAAATAAGATGAACATGTAAGTGTAGACAGTTACACAAAGTCTGAAAAAAAAATAAAGCAAGCTCTAAGAAGCTAATCTAACGTGGCCACCCCCTCCCCACAACCCCCCAATCTTCTCAAATGCATCTCTGATGTGACTTTCGGCCCAAGCACATAGTATAGGATGGGTTTCTTTTTCCCCTAATCTGCAGCATCCTGTGCTCCTGACAAATTACCATGTGGCGCAACTATCAGTACCTGGGGTCCAGCAAGCCCTGCTCCACTCCCCAGGCCATCTCTCTCACGGCATTGCTGATCTCATGACGAGATGTGTATGCAAAGCAGACATTCAGGAAACACCTAAGAAGGCAAGAGCAGAATAATGTACCAAAGGAGCAGAGATTAAGGCCTGGAATCACCACTGCAGTGCACCCCCTTTCCTGGAAGAACAAACACCAAACAGTAAGTACTGCCACATCTGAGAGGTGAGATCATGAATTTCTTGCATTCTCAAAGCTTTCTTGGGATAAACATGGCATTCTTTTTGTATCAAGAAAAATACTGAATGACCCTCCTAACCCTCTCACCTCCTACTGCCAAGAGTTTTCAAAGTATACAAAACCCACTGTGATAAGCAAAAGAGAATAGGAAGAAAATTTGAATTTAAGGAATTCACTGTCGGGGCCAGAGCCAGAGCATAGTGGGGAGGGCGCTGGTTTGATCCCTGGCATCCCATAAAGTTCCTGAAGCACAGCCAGGAGCGATCCCTGAGAGTAGAACCAGGAGGAACCCCTGAGCGTTGTCAAGAATGACCCAAAAAAGCAAAACAAACAAAAGAATCTACTGTCATACATTATATCCCAGAGAAATTCATCATAAGGTTTGAATTAGTGAACTCTTCTGTGTTAGACATCCACGACCCTCCAACATGGAGTAAAGGAGGACAGAAAAGAACTATCCTGAAGTTTCTGTCTTTAGAGATAGAGATACCTCATCTGTTACATTCCACCTCATTCTTTTTTTTGGGGGGGGGAGAGGGGGCACACTTGGCCGTGCTCACTCCTCTGTATGCACTGACAATTCGCTCAGCAGGGCTTACTCCTTGCTCTACACTCAATAATCACTCCAGGTGGTACTCGGATCACGTGGAGCAAGCCGTGTGCAAGGTAAGCACCCAACCCATCGTATTATTGCTCCAGCCCAATTCCACCTCATTTTGCACACAGTAAAACAATTGTGGGAGAAGGAGAAGGAAAAGCATAGGCTCACGGAGAAGAAGACACTGGTTGTAAGAGTGCACACAGATTATGTGGTGTTACAGAACCATCTCTGGTCTGCCCTGCAGATGGAGGTAGAAATCTCAAAGCATTCACACCCATCCTAATGCAGGCCTAGCAACTGACAAAGAAGGGCAGTGGATCCCCAAGTAGAGAAACTGAGCACTTACTTGTTGTAGTTCTTGGTAGCCTGCACAGCTCGTGCGATCAGCTCCTGGAGATCCAAGGGCAACAAATGCAGATCCCCCAGGACCCGGATACACACCCCATGCTTCTCTAGCTTCTCCCTGATCCAGGAAAGGAGGCAAGGCTGAATGCAGAGCGCCAGGGGCTGAGACAGTCTTCTAGTTCCTAGCTTGTGAACGCTTCCCTGTGTGGCGGGCACTGTTCCCCAGCACCCCAGAAAGGTCACACCATTCCCCATTCAGCTGCAAAAACAAAAACTCCAGAGACGCTAGGGGTGGCCCAAGGCCATGCAGCCGTCAAGTGCGGCATTGGGACGAAAGTGTGCTTTGTCTGCTGTGTGAACCCTTGCCTTTGCGAGATTATGCCAGTTCCTTTTTAACAAATGGAAGAATATCCTTAAAGACTGGTGCTTCACGATTCATTGCTTTTGTAAGTTCTGGTGAAATATACTAATACCTAAGCTTGAATAATGCAAACAATCTCTCATCAAACACCTGTCTTGCAACGCTGTCTGGATTTGCTACTGCTAATGAGGGCTAAGAATGGAATGGACTCTTTATAGAAAGGTCTCCTAAGCATCATCCGTCTCTTCCAAGAGAATATGCAGGGGGCAGAGTAGTTGTTTTAGGGATAACAGCACAGCAGGAAACTACTTTTCCAACATTTCTTTCATTTTTCTTTCCTGATCACAGTATATGGCCTGGGATACTACTATCTCCTCAAGTCAGCGCCCCCTTTAAAAGAGAAAGGAAAGAAACCCCAGCTTGACAGAGCTCCAACTAGCAGGAACAGGATGTGGACCTTTAACTAAGCCTTAGATAGGAGGTGAGGGAAAGGAGCAGGCTGAAGGGGAAGGGATTATGTTCTCCCCTCCGACAGCATCTTACTGTTCTTCCATCAAGCGGGTGAACTTCTGCCGGGCCAGATCCATTAGCCCGTCTACCTCACTCTTGGAGCGTTTGAAGTTCTCAATGCTGAATGCGTAGACCGTCACCTCTAGGATACCCAGGTTCAAACACCAGCGCAGAGTCTGAGAGGGGAGAAGGCAAGGAGCTGGGGTACAAAGGGGAGTTGGGAAGGGAAATAAATAAAAGAAACCTCGGCCTCAAACCAGTGTCGAGGGTTGGAGACAGACTATTCTCTAAACCTCAATAAAGCTAAGGTTCGCCGAAATAATGAACCAAATATGCAGAAAGCCACCACCTGAGAAACTGAAAAATAAAAAGTTAGTATTACTGTGCTGACACCACCCAGATCCGGAAAGAGACTGACTTTTGTCTCCATCGTGCATATGGTGCACTGGTTGTGTGCCATAGGCAAATCCTTCAGCCTCTCTGTGCATCAATCTCCTTATTTATAAAGTAGGATGATGGTCTCACAGGTGTCACTGTCACTGTCCTCCCGTTGCTCATCCATTTGCTCGAGCAGGCCCAGTAACATCTCCATTTTGAGACTTCTTGTTACTGTGTTTGACATATTGAATATGTCACGGGTAGCTTGCCAGGCTTTGCCACGCAGGCAAAATACTCTCGGTAGTTTGCTGGGCTCTCCGAGAGGGGAGGAGGAATTGAACTGGGGTTGGCCATGTTGGCTGCATGCAAGGCAAACGCCCTACCTGTTGTGCTATCGCTCCAGCCCAGCCAATCAAGTGGTATTTAAATTAGTGCTAAAATGTTAGACTTTATTAAGTTCTGATATTTGTATTTATAATATTTTGTCTTAAATTTTAAGTTTATGGGTCTCACAGGTAGCAAAAGAAAATAAAAACACAAGGATTAATCAGACCAAAATTTCATTATTCTGGTACACTAAGCAACTAACTGCTGGGTTGAAAAATAAAAGCGAGGGGCTGGAGAGATAGCACAGTGGGTATGGCATTTGCTTTGCACGCTGGCAATCCGGGTTCGATTCCCAACATCCCATATGGTCCCCCGAGTACCGCCAGGAATAATACAGTGTGTGAACCAGGAGTAACCCCTGTGCACCAGGTGTGACCCAAAAAGCAAAAAAAAAAAAAAAAAAAAGCAACAATGCATGGCTTTACAGCACTGAGTCTGAAAAGGGCTTTCACATTTGCTTCTTCAATAAGCCCCTAAGGGTCAGGGATGTAGCTCAGTGGGAGAGCACTTGCCAGGCATGTGTAAAGCCCTGGTTTGTTAAAATACAAACAAATACAAACAACTACTTATGGCATTATTGGCTGTTTTTTTTTTCCCCCTGGGGGGTGGGGGGGTGCACACCCAGTGATGCTCAGGTCTTATTCCTGATGGTACTCAGGGAATGCCTCAGGGTGCTGGAGATGGAATCTGGGTTAGCTATGTGCAAGGCAAGTCCCTGCCCTCTGTACTGGCTCTTCAGCCCCAGCATCTTTGTTTTCATGACAATTCTACAAATGATAAAACAGAGATGCAAAGAATTGAAGGAATGTGTCAGATGTCCATAACTCCACATTGTGAATGAATTACATGAAGTTCTAGAACAGCAAAAGCTCACTGATACTGACAAAAATCACATCAGTGGTTGATAGGACATGAGGAAGTGAGATGAAGTCTGAGAGGGAAGAGGCACAGGGAACATTTTAAAGAGTCAGGAATGCTATTGCCTTCTTCCATTTGTTTTCAGTTTTGGGGCCACACCTGGCTGTGCTCAGGGCTTCCTCCTGGCTCCGTGCTCAGGGATGACTCTTGGTGGGGGTTGGAGACTATATGTGTTATCAGGCATCAAACCGGGGTCACTGGAAGGCAAGTGCTTAACCGCCTGTACTATGTCTCAGGCCCGCAATATGTTTCTTGACAGGGGTATGAATTAGCAGTGACAGTGAAAGCAAGTGCCCAAACCCCAAAACTTGTTCATTTCACTGTATTAAACTATACTTTAATGGGAAAAAACAGTGAAATTCATACTAAAAGTTGGTTCTCAGATAGAGAGAGACACAGTACAGAGACAAAGGAACTTGCCTAGCACACAGCTGTGGCCACAACTATGGACTGAATCTCTAACCCAATACTACTAAAGGAGAAGAATGAATGGGAGCCAAGGGGCCAGGAAGATGGATCAAAGGACAGGAATATGCTAAGAACACAGGTGTGTGTATTTAACACCTGGCACTGCATGGATACACCAAGCACCATTGGAGTGTCCCCTGAACAAACATAATCAAAAAGAGGCTGAGAGTAACAGTACTGAGATGGGAGCCAGAAGTCTGAAGGTAAAGGGTAGGGGGTTGGAGAGCTAGTATAGTGGATAAGGGGCTTGCCTTGCATGCAGCCAACCCAGGTTTAATTCCCGGCATCCCATTGGGTCCCCCAAGCACTACCAGGAGTGATTCCTGAGTGCAAAGCCAGGAGTAACCCCTCGGCATCACTTGGTGTGTTGCCACCCCCCCAAAAAAATGGTAGGGGGTAAAAGGCATTCCAACAGAACAAAAGAAAATTTGCAATTTCTTCACACACGCACACACACACACACACACACACACACACACACACACACACCAATTCACTGCTACCTTAGAAGATTCCCAGCAAAAACCTAAACTATGCTATGGCCCAGTAACTCCCCAGGAAACCACCATGGCTGACCCATCTGGCGTGGATCTTGCCACTAAATTATAGCAGTTTGTATAGCTGTTAAGGGCTGAGAAAACAGATTAAAGGGCTTGAGTGCATGCTTTGCATTCAGGAGTCCCAGTACCATACGGTCCCCTAGCACTGCTGAGGGGTGAGATGAAATTAGCACTGAACTGTGCACAAGTGCCCACACATGTGTGTATATATACACATATATGCAGCTGCTAATAATAAACAGCTGGTAGGAAAGATAGCTTAACATGCTGGAGCAAATGCTTTCCATGTAGGAGGCCAGGTTTGATACCCAGAACCACATGTCCTATGAGTAAAGACAAGAGAACCCTTAACACAGTGCTGGGAATAACTCCTGAGTACCAAAAACCAAACATAAATAATAAAACTACAGCTACCATTCTTGAGAATGTCCTTTCTGCCAGCTCCTATGCTTTGTGCATTTCACTGTGTCTCTTTTTTAATCCCCAAATAATCTCTTGCAGTAGAGATTACCACTATCTCATTTGATAGAAGGAACTGTGGCAACAGGAAGCATAAAACTCACTCAGAGCCAGAAAGTGGAGAAGTGGCAGTACAGTATGCTCTGAGGGAGCCCTAAACTTAACCTAAACATAGGAAACACTACCTCAGACTCAGTCAGCATGAGGAACTGGGGTCAGCAAACTTACGACGGTGGCAGAGTGCTGGAGAGAACCCACAGCCACTCCTCAAGGCAAAAAATATCACTGCCCTGGCTTCAAGCCATCTTCCTGTGCCAGGACTAAGATTTATTGTTAAATTAAGTGATTTCCATTTTACAACTGGCAAAAAGAACCATAGGACGTTCATGACCTTTGCTTGGAATGATGTCTTGGCATATCTGCACTTTGCCAGGGTTTAAGCACTGTAAACTCTGTGTGCTGGGAGTCCCTCAGGTCAGGCAACCAGGATTAACAGTCACCCCACCTTTGCTCCAGAAATGGCACTTCTGAGAACTTCTAAAATAGAAGTATTTACAATGTCCAATAATAGCACAGCAGCCAAACCATTGTTAGATCATTGGTTTTGCTTTTGTTTTGTGGCCACAATCCAGGAGTGCTTCGATGTCCCTCCTCACTGCTTCATAGGGTGCATGGGGCACATGGAGCGCTGGGATCATAACCTGTCACCCGAATGCAAAGCATATTTCAACCTGTTGACCAATCTCTACTGCCCACATTGTGATAAAACAGTCTACGTTCGGGGCTGGAGCAATAGCACAGCGGGTAGGGCGTTTGCCTTGCATGCAGCCAACATGGCTGACCCAAATTTGATTTCTCTGCCCCTCTCGGAGAGCCTGGCAAGCAACCGAGAGTATCTCGCCTGCACGGCAAGCCTGGCAAGCTCCCCGTGATGTATTCGATATGCCAAACACAGTAACAATTGTCACAATGGAGACGTTACTGGGCCCGCTTGAGCAAATCGAAGAACAATGGGAGGACAGTGACAGTGACAGGTATTACATACATATAATCTTATAAATCAATGTAGAACAATAGTTGCAAAATATCAAGATTATCAAAGCTATATATGTGATTTTGTAAATGTTAAGTAATGTCCAAATATATTACCGGACTAGAGGGATAATACAGTTGGGAGGGCACTTGCCTTGCACACAAATAATTTGGGTTTAATCTCTGGCACCATATTTGGTCCCCTAACCCTGCCAGGAGTGATCCCTGAACAGAGGCAGGAGTGAACCCTAAGCACAGTCAGGCATGCCTTGCCCCCAAGTGCCCTCACCAAAGAAACATTTTACAAGGAGATACAGAAAAATATGAAATATTGATTTACCAAAGTGCTGAAAGAAGGTAACTTTGTTCTTATTTCTCATATTTAAGTTCTTACTAATGTAGATATGAGACATACAGCCAATAAGCCAGGTATAAAATAGACATATGGCTATTAGGGGGAAAAAAAAAACACTCACAAGTCAGGTCCCGATTTTCTAGTTATAATCCAACTATCCAAGATGTTCATCCTGAATCGGGCCACCCATACTCACCTCAGCCAGCTTGTTGAAGCCTTGTGAGTGGCCCTCTTGTCGTTCCACCTGGCATTTCTTGGCATAGCGACGGTTCCCATCCATTATAAATGCAATGTGTTTGGGCATCGGGCCTGCCTGTGAAGGCCGAAGACAAGTGATGAATACTTGTCTTTACATACTTCCTGGGTAAGGAGAACACCCCACACAGGAGGACAACACACCCCAGGCCCGAATGGCTGAAGCTACATTCATTATTTTGTAATTTCTTTAACCTAATAATATGTATTAAGCTCTAATAAGTCAAATAGATCCTTTATTCTACTCTAGATTTGATGCTGAGCTTTTTCTACATCTAAATCTTTTATAGCATGTAAACCTATAAATACTACCCCCCCCTTTTAAAAAAAAATTTTATTACTGAAATACCATGAGGTACAGTTGTAGACTTACAAATTTTTGTGCCTGGGTTTCAGTTATACAATGATTTGAGTACCCATCCCTCCTCCCACCCCCTCATGCCCCTCATCCCACCCACCCCTTTTGTTTGGCTTTTGAGGTCACACCAATGCTCAGGGATTACTCCTAGCTCTGCACTCAGGAATTACTCATGGTGGTGCTCGAGGGGCCATAACGGATCCTGGGCATCGAACCCGCATCGGTCACATGCAAGGCAAATCCCCTCCGTGCTGTACTATCGCCCTGGCCCAATCTTCCCCTTTTTTAAAATTTTGTTTCGTTTTGCTTTGGAGTCACACCTGGCAGTACTTGGAGTACCCTGGCTCTATGCTCAGGGGTCACCCTTGGTGGTTTTTGGAGAATTATAAATGGGGAGTGTGAAACAGGGCTGACCACATGCAAGGCAACTGCATTACCTACAACTATTATCTTCATTTTATAGGTAATAAAAATAAAGCTCAGAGAAGCCAAATGGCTCGCACAAGTCACACAGTTAAGAGGCAATGTAACCGTATACTCCTGACCACCACTTTAGTGTCATGAGTCCCCCAATAGAAGGGAAAGGAAGGACATTCAGGGGTAGAAGAGGCGGCCCAGGGCATTAGCTCTATGGGGATAATGGCGCTCACGCAGGTATGGGGGGCTTCATGTTGCTGGATTTTCTTTCTTTCCTTTTTTTTCGGGGGGAGGCTATATCCAGCAGTGCTGGGGGCTTAAACCTGGTTCTGTACTCAAGGTTCACCCCCGGCAAGGGCTCAGAGGACCATATGTGGGGCCAGGGATCAAACCACGTTGGTCAAGTAGAACAAGCCTGTGTTTTATTGAGTACTTGAGTACCTTACCTGCTGTTCTATCTCTCTAGCTCTGGATTTTCTAATTTTACAAGACAAGCCAAACATGTGAATTTTTATAAACAATTAAATTGTATGAGACTGGAGAGATAGTGAAGGGGATAAGGTGCTTGCATATGGTGACCCCAGTTCAAATCCCTGGCACTACACATGTCCTCCAAGCACAGCCAGGAGTCACAGCTATAGCCCCTGAGTACCACTAGGTATGGTCTCACAGCCCCCACCCCTCCAAATCTGCCCCAGGGCAGCCTTTTATAGCTTACCACAGTCAAAAGTCACCCCTTCTCTTGCTGAAAGAGACCGCATCTCATTGACCGCATCCCTAAAGTCGCTCCATTTTCTATTAAATTTTCTATTAATATTTTCTATTAAAGCCCCACATGTAGCCTTTAAAAACAAAAATTCCCGGGCTAGGGCAGGGCACATGGCAGACCCGGGTTCAAGTTCCTGCACTCCATATAATCCCCTGAGTCCCGCCAGTAGTGATCCCTGAGCACAGAGCGAGGAGTAAGCCCTGAGCACCACTGGGTATGGCCCAAAAAGACTAAATAAATCAATAATTCCAGGGTCAAAGCGATAGCATGCACTTGCCTTGCATGCTATCCACCTGAGTTTGGTGCCTAGCATTCTATATGGTCCCCCGAACACCATTAGGACTGATCCCTGAGCACAGATTTTTAGGAGTAAGTTTGAGTACTGCCATAAACAGCCCTCAAAACATACAAAAATTCCAAGTTTTGCACCCAGAGGAATGGTGAGGGCTTCAAAGTGCCCAACTAGCCAGCACACGGTGTCAAGATCCTATGGCCCACATGCCGAGAGCAATCATCTTGGCAGCTCTGCTGTCAGGATCACCCTGCATCACAAGCAATTTCAGGTTCCATCATGGTCAGTTCTGGTGTTTTCAGTACTGGTGTTTTTGCTTATGTTCACCGGGTCAGCCAGTGTCAGCCACATGCAAGGGAAGTGTCCTACATGGTAGGAGCAGCCTCTGGAGCACAGCCCCTGGGAGAAAGCTATGGAGCATCACAGCCAGAAGGATGATTTCTGAGGGCACAGTTGTGAGCACTGCAGCAGCTCCTGGTGAGTACCACAACCAAAACTTTTTTTGGGGGGGTGAGGAGGAGGTCTGGACCACACCTGGCTCTGTGTTCAGTGGTCACTCCCTGTAGTGCTCTAGGGACCAGAAGGGGCCTCGGATCAAACCTGGGTTTGGCTGCATGCAAGTCAAGCACCTTAACCCCTGGACTATCTCTCTGGCCCAACGGTAGCTTGTGCCTCAATTAAGAGCACTGGACCCGGTGAGCACAAGCAAAAACACCAGTACTAAAAGGACAGCAAACCTTGGGAGAACCATATTGAGGTCGTGAACACCCCCACCTGCCATGAGATCCCAGGTGAGAACCACAGCCAGGCATGTGTGTGCCCTATCATCATATCATCATAGTAACTACAAGAGGGAAGTGGAGTGGGAATTAAAAAACAATTCCAAGTTCACCATGGAACATATTCTTCCCAATACATTCCTACAGTAGCTCTTTTTGGGGGGGGGGGGTCACACCCAGCAATGCACAGGGGTTACTCCTGGCTCTGCACTCAGGAGTTACTCCTGGCGGTGCTTGGGGGACCATATGGGATGCTGGGGATCGAACCCAGGTCAGCTACATGCAAGGCAAACGCCCTACCCACTGTACTATCGCTCCAGCCCCCACATTGGCCGTATGGGCCTGGCGGAGATCACAGAACATTTGTGTGTATATGGGAAGAAGCATGCTGTCTCATAAATTTCCTTATATCTGCTGCTAGACAAACAAGGCAAAGATGAGTGGTGCTAGCCTAACACCTGTAACTGTAATAATTCCTGAAGAAAAAGTTGAGGGAATATTTGGAAAAGCAAGGGGAAACAGTGAGTTTTTAAGTTGCTGAAAGACCCAAATAGTAAATAGTAGTAATTAGGAACTGTTTCTTTTTGGTTTTTTGGGGGTTTTTTTGCTTTTTAGGTCACACCTGGCAATGTACAAAGGTTACTCCTGGCGTTGCTCAAGGGACCATATTCTTAGGAATGCTGGGAATCAAATCCAGGTCAGCTGTGTGCAAGACAAACACCCACCTGCCCTCACTTATTTCTTAAAACCACAATCACATGGTTTAATTCTGTTTGTCCAGAGTCCACACTCTTAGCCATTAATTATACTGTACTACTCTATCAAAAAAAAAAAAAAAAGTAACTGGGCCACAGAGTTAGTATAGTGGGTAGGGTGCTTGCCCTGCATGTGGCTGTCCCGCGTTGGGTCCCTGGTATACATGTAGTTCCTCAAGCCCTTCCAGGAGTGATTACTGAGTGCAGAGCCAGGAGTAAGCCCTGGACATGACTAGCTGTGGCCAAAAAAAAAAAAAAAGAGTAATTATTCTATGTGAATCCCAAGGGTAGTACTACAGGAAAAGTCGGGGAGCCGGCTCAATGGCTGGAGCCCTGAGCACTGACAGGAGCAACCCCAGGTGACCGATGACAACTGTCTTCCCCCCAAATAACACGAAAAAAGCTCAAATTTCAGTTCTTACTAAGGAAAACCTAACAATCCTCGCTAAACAGTGATGAATAACATGCTGAAAATAAAGACCTGGAAGTTACACTGCAATTTTAGAACCTCATTCCACTGTTAAATCTCACGTAACATCATGTATTTCTCAACTTTAATAACAAAGGAAACTTTGTATGAGATTACCCAAGTAACCCAAAGGCAAACTGGTGCTGTGGGCCATTCCTCACCTTGATGATGTTGCCAAAGAAACGCTCCAAAAATGACAGTTCTCCTTCCTTGATCCATGACATAGTTTCTGCCCCACAAGAGGTTAGGCAAGAACTAAAAAGCCAGTATCCAGATCACCTTGAATTAAAAAGGAGAATCAGACTTTGAGGACTGCAATGGGCTAGCATTGGCACCCAAAAACAAGACAACGGACTCTGTTCTCTCCCCATCTAGAGTTCATAAAAAAGGCAATAGGATCTAATTCTCACATGCTTTTCCTTCGAGTGAGTATGCACTGACTTCTGCCTACGTGAGCATGTCCATTATCTCGCTCCTTTCTTCTCCATCCTCCTCCCACCTATCCATTTCCCACTCAGCCCTCCAGGTCTCAAAGGCTACCGAGTCTTCCAGTAATTTTTTCCCTCCCCTGTCTCCTCCCCCCGGCCTCCCCACCCAGTCACCTTTCTCACCTTTCGTTCCCCCGCTGGATCACTGCGCAGGATCGGCTCGTCCCGGCACCTTTTAACTGCTCCCTGGCTCACACTTCCTTACGACGTGGCGCAGTAGGAACACGTCATCGCTGAGCGCGGGGCACGCCCCGTCCGCCCTCGCGGGATGGGCGGGGCCTCTCGGACGCGGAGCGGCGCGAGCGGTGGAGGGGGCTGGCGCGAACTCACGTGACCGAGTGGCCGGGGCGCGGGCTCACATAGGCGCCGTCTAGAGGCGACCTCGGGGAGCGCAGGGCTCCCGTCCCCGGGGAGGCTAGAGACGGACACTTGAAGCCCCACTTTGGAACTGCAAGGGTTGCTGGGCTACTGGTGGCAGTTTGAGAAATGGTGGCCCCGGCAATAGGCTGGACTTAAAAGCTGTGGTACAGAAGTCTTTAAAAATCTCTATTTGGGGCCGGAGCGAGAGTACTGCGGGTCGAGTGCTTTGCATTGCACGTACGTGGCTGACCCGCGTTCGGCATCCCTGAGCACCGCCAGGAGTAATAGGGGAGCGTGGGGCGCTGAGCACCGCTGGATGCGGCCAAAAAACAACAAACAAATCAAAGTCTCTAGTGTTTGCTTTCTTCAGTGCATTTCAACCTGTTTGGAAAGTTCCTGTCCTTCCTCAACTCACAAATCCACTTAATGTCTATTTTGTGCAGATTTAATACTTAAGATTTAGGGATTTGCATATTCTTAGGCCCTACTCAAAGATTGAAAAAAAAAAAATGTTAAGACACCGAAAGAGCTCTGCTCTGCTTTGAGCAGTCAGAAACCCTTTGAGCTGTAAGAAGCCATGAGAAAAAAACCAAGCATTTTAGGGCTGTACCAACCCTTTAAGAACTGCTGTGGGAATTTGAGGCTAGGGTAAGAGGGAATTGATTTTTTTTTTTAATCAAAAAAGCAGAATTTTTGGTGGTGGAGAATGGACACTGGTAGTGGGATGGGTACTCCATCATTGTATAACTGAAACCCAAGCACCAAAACTTGTTAAGTTTACAACTGTACCTCATGGTGTTTCACTAATAAAAATTTTCAAAAATTAATTAAAAAGCAAAATTTAAAAGAAGTTGCAATTTTCAGAGGAATCTTAAAATTTCCTACTCTGGATTGCAGTGTGTTAAGCAGGAAAGGAAGATATTGCAGTGGCTCATTGTCGCTTCCACTTCCTGATCAAAGAGTTACTTTTATTTTTATTTTAATTTTTTGGTTTTTGGACCACATCTAGCAGTGCTCAGGGACCGTAGAGGATAAAAACCCCCTTGGCTATGCAAGACAACTGACCTACCCACTGAACTATCTCCTGGACCACAAAAGGGTTACTTGTAACAGAGCCACATTATCAAAGCAGGCTTTAGAAATGGGTATCCGTGAAGTCTTCCACTTTCATGCATTTTCATCTTGGCAAGTTAAGTTTTCACCTAGTGATTACCGCTAATTTTGCAGTTAGACCAGTGATTGAAAATTAGCTTAAGCATGCAGTTCCCATGGTCAGCTTTGACTTTTGGTGGCATTTGTGGATAGACTGACTTAGCTTTGTTCTCCAGCTTCCTTGCCTTTTGTGTAATAGATGGAATTCCCATATCAAAAGCTTTTTCCTTTTTTTTTTAAATAATTTTATTTATTGAATCACCGTGAGAGCAATTACAAAGCTTTCAGGTTTAAGTCTCGGTCATACAATGAAACACTTGTATCTTCACCAGTGCCCATTCTCCACTACCAAAAACCCCAGTATGCCCCCATCCTGCACCCCTCCCCCTACCTGTGGGGCAGATGATTTCCATATTACTGTCTCTCTACTTTGATCACATTCAATATTTTGACACCAGACCCACCATTATTATTTGGGATTTTACCTCAACACTCAGATCTGCTGAAAAGTCAACAGTAGACAATTTGTTTTCTATTGCTGGTTATGAATAACATGATGGGGGCTGGAGTGATAGTACAGTGGGTAGGGCATTTGCCTTGCATGTGGCCGACCGGGGTTCGATTCCCAGCATCCCATATGGTCCCCTGAGCACTGCCAGGAGTGATTCCTGAGTGCAGAGCCAGAGTAACCCCTGTGCATCGCTAGGTGTGACCCAAAAGCAAAAAAAAAAAAAAAAAAAAAGAATAACATGATGTCTGTATGACCGAGACTTAGACCCGAAAGCTTTGTAACTGCTCTCACGGTGATTCAATAAATAAAATTATAAAAAATGAAAAAAAAAAGGTGGAGTTCATGCACAATTCAATCAGCTAATTGGTGGCTGAATAGCAGTACTCCTACATTAATAAAAAAAAAAAAAAGAATAACATGATGTCGTGTGGCAGTCAGGTTTAGGCCCGCAGTGGGGCCTCACAGGATGGGGGTGGAGCCGGCTCTTTCCTCCCCATCCCAATGAGACCCTGAGTCGCTGCCCACAAATGGCCTCTGACTCCTGAGCTTTTTTCCTTCTTAAAATACCTTTTCCCAGGACTGCAAAAATAGTACAAGGAGTTAAGGTGCTTGCCTAGCATACAACTGACTGAGCGGGTTGAGTCCCAAGCACCACACGGCTTTCAGAGAATAAGTGATCCTTAAACACAGAGCCAGGAATAGGGCTGAGTACCACCATGTGTGGCTCCCAAACCACCAAAAATAAAGTTCATGTGACTGGAGAGATAGGGGTAAGATGATTGCCTTGCATGCAGCTGATTCAGGTTTGATTCCCAGCACCACATAGGTCCCCTGGACACCAGTAGGCATTTTTTTTTCCCTTTTTGGGTCACACCCAGTGATGCTCAGGGGTTACTCCTGGCTTTGCACTCAGGAATCACTCCTGGCGGTGCTCAGGGGACCATATGAGATGCCAGGGATCAAACCCAGGTCAGCGAACCTGGCCGCATGCAAGGCAAATACCTTACTCGCTGTACTATCACTCGGGCCCTAAGCAGGCATGATCTTTGAGCAGTCAGAACCCCTAAACAAGTTGAGTCTCAAAAAAACAAAAACCAAAGATGTTCATCAGAAGAACAGACTTTAAAACATCTATAGTCAGTGTTCCTCTGGCCTCAATTTCCTTGATTCCATTTATTTCCTTCCCTGGGGGCAGCAAGGCGACTAATCAGAAGTTGTAAAGGGCTTTGAGGAACAGGACACAAAGTATTATTAGGTTCCATGCCCCCATCATTGCCTCTTCCATTGTGGCACAGGCAACCCCATTCTTATGGATACCAAGCTGCTAATCCCTCTTGAATGTGGCAGCTTCTAAGTAAAGCACAAGAGGCCTTAACTAGAAACAAAACTCCGCTGGAATGAGGTACTGAGAAGACTGAACATTCAAGATGCATTCCTAACAAAATGTCTCATCAGAAAACTTGAATGTTTCTTCTGTGACTTCTGGAGCCCAATCTAAAGTAGGGAAAATAAAGGGGAAGAAAAATGCTAGCGTACTAACAAGAAGACGCCGGTTTTAGTACCAATAAGTTTTTATTTATTCATTGTATTTTCCCAGGGTACAGAAAGGGAATTGGGAAAAGGATCAGCATGTATGTAGCAAAATGATTGCAAAAGGGAAAGGAAGTAACCCATACAGCAAAATCAACCATCAAATAAACATTTCCCCAGGATGGGGTCACCAAAGCCCATGGGCTCCAGTCTCAGCCCATGGGATGAGGGAAGGGGATCAGGTACATGCTTCCCTACTCTCCCGCCCTCCCTCCCCATAAATTCAAGATTTCACAAAAAGCTTTGGTTTCTAGCAGTAAACATGGAGTTACATTCGTCCGTCTCCTATTAAACAATCTTGTGGCCACTTTGACCTAAGTTTCTTGCACCTGCACAAAAGTTCCTGAGTGACTTGGATATACATTCATCTTCCCTTTTCTTGGTTTCCTGATCCCACTTTACATGGAAGGCCCCCTCCCCCTCATTGCTTCTCTACCCTAAGATTCAAAACTAAGGTAATAATACAGCAGCGCATGTTTGGCATAAAAGATAGCAAGTGATAGTCCTGTCTTCAAAGGCTGGGTGCAAGGAATAGAGTATTCTGAACTTCTAAAGGACTTTTGTAAAAATCACTTTCTTTAAGACTTGTGGAGATACACCACAAACTTGCAAGGTTGTGTGGACTGGTAGGGGGTGGGTGGGTGGGGGATTTGGGAGAAGCGTGGGGAGAAGAGGGAATCAAGGAGATGGTAAGAAAATTCAGGAGATGGCAGAAATTTGAGGGACAGAAGACCTGATTCAAAATAGGAAATAGGGGCAGGGAACACAAGAGAAAGGGTGGCTCAAGACCCCCATTTCAGGAAGGGCCCCCAAGCTTGCTTCAGATCCTTTTACCTGGTGCAGAACCTTGTGTCAAAGATGCTTTGGCTATTTTTCTTATACAAAAGTTTTGTAAACAATAAAACCCCAAAATAACATGGAGAAGACCAACACATTATATTTACACAAACTAGGCCACCTAGAAATCACCAAATTAGCTACTCATAAGTTCTACAAAGCCCAGACAAATACAATAACTAGAAGGGGCTGCAAGTTGGGGGAGACAAGAACCCAGGATCAGACACAAATCACCCAATGCGGTCTATTGCATTTGCCCCGTTTCAACACAGTGAGGTAGAGGTTTGCAGGGATCACAGCACGTAAACGAACCCTCCCCCCCTTTTCTCCTTTGGCTACCATGACATGAATCACTGATACCGCAGGGCAGGACACTGGCTCTGGGCCCCAAAAAGGAGACATCAGGAAGCCAAAGAGTTAAAGGTTCTGGATTTGGTCCCTGTTTCATATCCATACCTGGGCATCTCAAAGTGGATACAGAGATAGCCTCTGAAAACTATCCTTATGAACTCAAACTATTTTTTGGGTTTTTTTGGCAAGCACACATTCACCCTGTTGTGCATGGTAGGCCTAGCCCAATCTAGTGAAAGAGGGATCTGGGATGTCCTGTGCCCTGGGGTTAGAGGTCTGGAACAGGAATCCTCATCTCACACACAGACCTCACCTGATCTTGGCATCCTCTTGGTGCCTTTAGCCTGGCCCGGCTTCTCCTATCCCCTCTCTGTACCATCTTTCCTGTTCAGACCATATTCCAATCTTGGGGAGGAAATCAAATCACAGGGCACCCAGGGAAAACCTAGCCCCGCCATGAAAACATTGAAGGTGGAGGGGTTTCAAGACGACGTAACAGCAGAAAAGTCAGCTCACAATTGGCCAAAAAAAAATGAGGTAGTTCAATCCACTTCAAATAGTTTTTTTCCCTGCTGATCAAACAACAAAAAGTATTCCTGCTGTGCAGACCCGGAGCTGCTGCTGACTTATCCCTGAGATTGCTCATGTACCTGAGAACACAGTGCAGGAATGAGGGCCTTAGATTAAAATACACAAAAATACAAAACCAGAATATTTATATTAAGAAAAAAAAAATTAAAATGCACAAGATACGTCATTCGCACACAGCTAGTGCAGTTGGCATCCTGGAGAAGGTGGGACCACGGTGCAGCAATCCAAGGCAGCAAATAAATAAAATCATATTGGCCCAGAATGGGGAGGGAGCTTAGGAGCAGATAGATCAGCACTGTTCCAATCCCCCTTTGGCCTTTTATCACAATCCATGGCTTGGGACAGCTCCCAAAACTCTAATCCAAGAGTGTTGGGAGACAAAATGTAGAAAAAGCCTGTCTTAGCCCTGAGATTCCCTCCCACGGAATGCAGAAGCTTGTGGGTTGGGCCCATTAATCTGGTCTCTTGTCTGATCAATCTTTTCACTCTGGCATGGAAAATAGTTACATAGCCTTCTTTAAAAAGGAAAACCACTTCCGTGTCCAGAACATTTCAAAAGCAAGAGATCCTGGGCATAGAGACTCAGATAAAGCATGCAGAGGGGTTCCGTCCCCAAAGCTCTCAGGTGCATTTAGACAGCGTGATTGGAGTTCCTTTGCCTCACCCCCTCCCCCCTGCCAAGAGGGAGAGAGGGTGAAGCTCTGGACCCCGGCCTGAGATACATACACACATGGCAGTGCCAGCTGCCCCCTTCCCACCCTGTCCCCACTTTCTCCTCTCTGCCGATTGATGCCTGCTCCTAGAAACTTGCTGATCGCAAAAGGATAGCCCCCACCCACTGGCTCAATTCTGGGCCTCAGGCAGCAGGGCAGGGGAATGGATCTCCTCTTCTTCCTCCCGGAAGTAGGTAGGCTTCCCCTGGGAGCTGGGGGCTTGCTGGGCCTTCAGTGGACAGGAGGCCACCATATGGTTGATGCTCTGGCAGAAGTGGCACTTCTTGGGCTGGGGTGGCAGCTTGCATTCTTTGGCATGATGGTCTAGACCGCCACAGTTGTAGCACCTACAGCAAAGAAAGATGATGCAGAGAAGCCATCAGGAGCCTTCTGCCCTGCCATGACACCTATGTTGTAGCCTAGGTCAGTTACCAGAACCACTTTCCTTCCTGGAGACCCATTTCCCAATTAAAAAAAAAAAGTCCCTCCTCTAAATCTATTGCCTAGATCAATATCTTTTGACCAAGGCCCCTTCTGACTATATTTCCTTCTTGTGACGCCCTCTAGTCTCAAGCTGTACACACACACACACACACACACATACATACACACGCGTGCGCGCGCGCGCCTACAAATTTCAATTTATCCAACTCTCCCCTGTGGCCTCTGGTTGAGAAATACTGGCTAGATGATTGTGAAAATACCAAAATATTGAGGCCAGAGAGATTCTTACAGGGGTTAACCCTGGTTCAATCCCTAAGAGTGACGCCCAAACAGAACCATTCTGTGCACTGTGGATAGGGTTCACTTTCTCCCCTGCCCCCTAAAAAAAACAAAACAAAACAAAGGGTCAGCTCAATCAATGACAGAACAAACAGCAGTACTCCTACATTTAAAAACACCAAAAAACAAGATCAGGGCAGGAACACGTGCCTTGCTTGTGGAGGCTTCAAGTTCAATCCCAGCACAGAATGGTCCACTGCGTCCTTCCAGGTATACCCTAAGCACAGCTTGGGATTACCTCCCACCAGAAAAATAAAAATATGTCACAGGGGCCAGAGCAATAGTACAGCAAGTAGGGCATTTGCCTTGCACATGACCGACCCAGATTCGATCCCCGGCACCCGGTATAGTCCCCTGAGTACCGCCAGGCCTGATTCCTGAGTACAGATCCAGGAGTAACCCCTGAGCATTGCCAGGTATGACATAAAAAGCAAATATAAATATATTTTTTAAATAATAATTTAAAAAAATAGAAGCCACAGACCCCAATTGGGAACTTCTATATTGGAAATGAATAAGACTTTGCCATAACCTTTAAAAACCGTACCTGAGGGTTGGAAGAATAGTACAATGGGTAGGGCACCTGCCTTGCATGTCACTAACCCCAGGTTTTGTTCCAGGCATTCCATATGGTCTCCCAACCCCATCAGGAGTTAAGTCCTGAGGAGGCAGGATGTGGCTCATCAAAACAAAACAAAAAGCCCCAAACAAAAGAGAAATCAAAGGACTCAAACTCTTATTACTGAGGGGCTGGAGCAACAGCACAGCAGGTAGGATGTTTGCTTCGCACATGGCCAACCCAGCTTCGATCCCCAGCATCCCATATGGTCCCCGCGAGCGCCGCCAGGTGTGACCCCCCACCCCCCCAAAAAACAAACAAACCCAGAATCTATTACTGAATGCAGCAGAGTAAAGGGGAAAGAAGCCAACATTTGGAGAACTCCGGGAGCAACAGGAACACAAGGACCATTTTGTTTCCACCACTTAGATTTTCACATAGAGCTAAAATAAGTGTGAGGTTAGTTTCTCTAGCCCCATTACATAACTGGGCTAGAGCTCAGGAACAAAGTTAAAGAAATTGCTAGGACTGTTGCATGGCCCATAGCACACTGCCTGCCTCACTGTCTCCCACACACACACAGGCCAGGTGTCATTGAGGATCACAGCCTTCATCCTATGCCCGGCAGTCATGAGAATGTCATGAAAGGGAGGTTAGCTCCCAGTAACTGCTGCCCCATCCTTACCTGTCTCCCTTAGATCTCCGCTTCTGCATGTTCTTCCCTTTGGGCCGCCTCTCACTTCCAATACAGAACACCCCACCAGGACCAGTAACTCGAATAGATTCCAGGCCCTTGGCGGACTTCTTAAAGGTGAACTCCACTGCCTCCCCCTCCTTCAGGCTCCGAAAACCCTCCATGTGCAGTTTACTCTGGAGGGAAAACATGGTAGATTTCAACATCAATCTTCATCTTTTTATCCCAAACAAACAGAAACAGCACATTGCCAACAAGGCAGCAAGAAAAGTGCAGCAACGTTCCCATTTTCTAAGTAAAGAAATTACAATTCAGGGGGCCAGAGCGATACTACAGCAGATAAGCCTTGCACACGACCAACCTGGTTTTGATCCCCGGCATCCCATTCGGTCCCCTGAGCACTGCCAGGAACAATTCCTGAATGCAGAGCCAGGAGTAACCCCTGAGCATTATTACCAGGTGGACCCAAAAAGACGAAACAAACAGAAAACAGAAATTAAGATTCAGGACCAGGGACTGGAGCAATAGCACTGCAGGTAGGGCGTTTGCCTTGCATGCGGCCAACCCAGGTTGGATTCCCAGTATCCCATATGGTCCCCCGAGCACTGCCAGGAGTAATTCCTGAGTGCAGAGCCAGGAGTAACCCCTGTGCATCGCCGGGTGTGACCCAAAAAATAAATAAATAAATAAATAAATAAGATTCAGAGAGGCAGTACAGGTGCTTGCCTTGCATGCAGTTTATCCCACCCAGTACTCCACATGGTCCCCGAACCCCACCAGGAATGATCCCTGAGTATTTTGGGTATGGCCCCAAAGCATAAATAAATAAATAAATAAATCGTGATTCAAAGATCACAGCAATACCATGATCAAGAAACTTGCATTACTTCAGCTAAGATCACTATATAAACAGATGTCATATTCCTTTATCTGGGGGACGGAGGGAAGGAGGTTTGGACCATACCTGATGGTTCACAGAGCTTAGCCTGGCAGTCTGGAGGGGGATCATACGGGGTACCAGGAATCACACCCTGGTTAGCTGTGTGCAAGAAAAGCACCCTACCCCCTATACTATCTCTCCAATGCCAAAGGTTACTCTTTGCTTTTTTTGGCTCTTTGGGTCACACCCCAGCAATGCTCAGGGGTTAGTCCTGGCTCTGCACTCTTGTGTTTGTGCTCTGCACCAACTGACTACTGAGTAGCATCCAGGAGTAGCACCCAGCCCCAGCATCAGTGGATGTGGCTCAAAGTCAAAATACACATACATGCTCCTCTGGTTTCAGCACTTGTGAAACACATAACCAGTCTCAAAAATGGCATGGAAATGGCATTAAGAAACCTCGTTAGAGATGAATCTCTTAAAGGGGTGGACCCCAAATTCACAAGGAACATTGGTTTTGCCTAGAAGCACTAGAAGGACCTAAAAAGATGCTGGCCAATAATGCCAAGGCCATGAAGGCGCTGGTGAACCCCAAGTAGGCTAGGCTCGTTGTCACAAAGAACACTCACAGGCTCTGTCGACCTTGTACATTGCTCACCCCGGGCTTGGGGAAAATGCTCATGCCTTCATTGCCAAGGGTCTCAGGCTCTGCTGGCCAAAAACCAAGGTTGAAACCAAGGATCCAACCAAGGTCAAAGTCAAGGTTCAAAGGAGGGCTAAAGCAAGGCTCAGATGAAGGCCAAAGCCAAGGCCTACAGTGAGACCCAAACGGCTGCAGCTCCAGCACCAATTCAAGCTTCCAAAGGTGCCCAGAAGGACTGGTGCAACCTCCAGGCTGTTTCCAGCATGTGTCCTCCTCATTTTGTACAAATAAACCGGAGAGCAGGAAAGAAAAAATATATATACACACACAAAAAATGTGGCCATTTTCAAAAGGTCTCATCAGGATCAGATTGTTGGTACAGTGGCTAAGGCACCTGTCTTGTTTGCTGACAGGGTTTGATCCCTAACACCACATAGGGTACACCAAGCCCAGTCAGGAGTGATCCCAGGGTGATTCCAGAACACAAGGCCAAAAGCCAGGAGTAGGAATAATCTCTGGGAAACATCAAGTGTGGCCCCAAAAACTAAACAAAAGAATTTTTTTTAAAAAGGGGAGGGGCTGGAGCGATAGCACAGAGGGTAAGGCATTTGCCTTGCACACAGCCGACCTAGGTTCGATTCCCAGCATTCCATATGGCCCCCTGAGCACCACCAGGAATAATTCCTTAGTGCAGAGCCAGGAGTAACCCTTGTGCATCGCCGGGTGTGACCCAAAAAACAAAAAAATAAAATAAAATAAAATAAAATAAAAATAAACGAAAGAAAGGGGAGAGAAAGAGAGAGAGCGCTCATTAGAGAGGGAGATTTGGCAAGCACATGTAAAGCAAGGAGCAGTTCCCTAGAAGCACCAAGTATATGTCCACTCCCCACCCCCCAAAATTAGCTTAGAGCCCATTCCACCTTGCCATTTCTAGTTTAACACATCAGTGGCGGTAGCAGCCAACAGGAACCTACCCAGCGTATATCAATCAACAAAGTGAGCTCAACACTGAGAACGAGGCCTAAAGAAGCAAGAGCAACCGCTGTGCCTCTAGAACTGGCACAAGTGACCTAAAATAAAAAGCATTAGTATTTTATTTCTATGGGAGTGCCTCAAACTGGAATTCAGGTAAAACATGAATGACCTTTAGCCAGATGAGCTCCCCAATCCCTTATCATTTCAATTGAATTTTAACTCAAAGAGCATGCACATGCTTTGCATGCAAAAGACCCGTGCTCAAACCTTGTGTCTCCACCATCCCACTCTGCATTTGACTGGAAGTAGCCCTAAGCACAACAAGGTATACCCACCCCCAAAGAAACCATATCCCCAGAGGGAGAGATTGTACATCTACAAAGCTTGGCCAATCCTGCTGGATGGCACCACATAAGATCCCTATACACTGCCAGAAGCTGTGGGCCCCAAGCAGTTCAAAAAAACAATATATGGAAACCACATCCACTTCATGAAACATTATCTAAAGGTTTCGAACCTCTTATAATATGGGACAACAGCCTCTAATAAATATAATGTGAGCACAGAAAGAATTTCATGTACTAGGGACCAAAAAGACAGTACAGCAGATAGGGCATTAGCCTTGTACACAGCTGAGCGGGTTCAAAGTCCGGCACCACATTGGTCCCCTGAGCCCACCAGGAGATTCCTAAGCAGAGCCAGGAATAAGCCCTGAGTACTGCTGAGTAGGGACAAAAACTAGTAATAATAATAATCTAAAAAAAAGTCTAGTATTTGTAGCTTTTGCCCTCCAGACCATCAAAGAAATATCCTAAAGTCAAGGAATCCCTTAACTTCTGTTTTTATTCCCCTGCAAACTGCCAAGGCTGTGAAAACACTCCCCACATCCCAATCTTTATGTGGGGAAAGTGATAGGGCATAAAAAGCAAATAAAAACACTGTAAAGAGGGGAAACTCCCTTCCCTCTCGCGCAGGAACTACTGAATCAAATCAGATTTGGCTCGCTGCTTGCTGAGGAGAGGCCAGGGGCAAGCATGAAGGAAGCAGATCGGGGCCTGGCGTCAGGGAGCCCAGATCTCCAGCTGCCTCCTGGGTTGTGCCTGTGACCTGGCTTGGAGTGGAGCCTGTTCCTCCTCTCTGAGCTGACCAAGAAAATGGAGCAGAAACTAATTTTATGGAGGTGCAGTGAGGTTTTATGCAAGAAAAGTAGTTAACACATTGGCTACCACACATAAATCCTCAGCAAGCGGCAATTACCAAGCCTTCAGCCCGGAGCTGGGCAGGGTGACTGGTGAGGAGTGTCAGGGAAGTGGACATTTAACTCTGGCTTTTATCACTCCATAGCTGTGGAAATGCTTCAAGAAACGCCTCAAGTTCCAATTCATATTGCTTATAGCTCTCCCTGCCCCAGCACTGGGAAAGGCAGGTTCAGAACAAGAATAATTGAAAAGGAAAGGATTAGAATTAGACCATCCTTTCAGGCCACAGGCTCCACCATCGGAGCTTGGTTTAACTTTCAGAGAATTTTCATTTCTTTAAAAAGAAAGAAAAAAAGTAATCCCCTCTAACTACCCAAACCCTGTAGTTTCCTGGCCAGAACAGGTCAAAATTTCCCCTGGTGGTCTCGGGGGAGGCTGCCTGCCCTCCACCCACCCCTCCACACATAGTTGGAATTCCTCTCTTATCAGCTAGGTAATCAGCGTACAGCCGCCCTCGGCCAGTCTCACAGGCCTGCCAGCAGAAAGGAGCGAGGAATTTCTGCTACTACCCCACCCCACCCCCAGCCACACACAAAGACGGCCCGCCCCTCGCCCCTCTCCCAGTCCCCTCCAAAAAAGAAAAGGCCTGGGGGGAGGGGCAGGGCTTGAGCTCCCCCTGTAGAGCCCAGCCCCAGGAAACAAAGAGTTGACACTGGTTGGTTCTGGTGGTCAGATTCCTGGAGTTCCAGAGGCTCCAGCTTCTGACACTACCACCCCCTGCCCCCACTCACACACATTCAAAACATTCATCAGTTCCTTCCTCTCCATGTTAGGTTTATGGTCATGGTGAGAGAAATGGATCGGAGTCACCACCTTTCTTCCTCAGTTATGCTTGCAGGGCCTGCCAAAGTCACCACCAGCTAAGGCCAGGCCCCTCACCCTGCTGGGGTGGATGGAGGGAAGCAAGGAGCAGAAGCAGAAGCAGACACCCCCCACCCCCCCACCCCCGGCTAGTGCCCCTAGGCAGGAACCTGAATTGGTGTGACTTACTTAAATAAATAAATTTGGAAGGTGAGCCAATAGGGTCCATTGAATCACAAGAATAGCAGGTTAGCAAGATTTTCCCCTTTACAGGGTAAGGGGCCAGCAAGCAGAAAAACCAGGGCAGTTAAAGCACTTGGGCCTCCTCTCCACTGCCCACCCAACTTTCTCACGCACCATAAGGAGGCCTTAGTTGTTGACAACTGGGAGGACTTGTGGGGTCGCTTAGACACCATGGTCCGGAGTAGAGAACACACAGGCCTGCGTTACTGCTTTTTGCTGTGAGGACACTCCCTGCCGTAAGGACCTTGGAACCAGCTCTGCTGAGTGCTAAGGAGGGCTGGAAATGCGCTGCCTGCCCCTCTCCCCAGGAGAGCTCTGGAGCTATGCTTTGGGCTCAGGGATCATAACCAGCATTTCCTGGCTTTCCTGTAACAC